ATGCAGTCCGAATGCAGCAGCTCTGCCAAATTGATCCCATAGTATTCATCAGATCCCCATCCAGGTTATCTGGGCTCATGCTGAAAGGCTCAGACTACAGCCTCAGACTGACCTGGCTCCCTATCAAGCTTCCCAGAACATAACTGTGGCTAATAATTATCATGTGTTGCCTCTGGACCTGCAATAACAAAACAGAGCCAGGCACCTGCCTAGATGTGAGGGAGTATCCTGATATATCTGCAATAAGCCTTGGATCCGCAAATATGAATCAGAACCATGTTGTCCACTATCCTCTTGTCTTGTCATTGCAATGCAACTTTAGTTGCATCACCCTTTCCTGCAGCTATTACTTCTCTAATTCTTAATGTGCCAAAATTGCCAACAATGATGCTGCCCTAAACAGCGCCGCCTCATAAACATCCCTGCAGGGGATATGAGTGCCCTATGTCTTAACCCGACCTTACTCTTCACCCCAACCTTCATGCATTTTCCATGTACAGAAAGCAGAGGTATAGTCCTGATACCCCTGAACCCTAGTGTGAAAGCTAACATTGACATCTAGCCTTGTATGGAACCTGGCACAAGTCCTTTCCTATGTAAGTACTGTATAAGTATATGAACTGCTGTAGGTGCTCTACTGGGGCAGGCCAGAACAACTCTAAACCCACTGAGTTTCTAAATTCCTGAAACTCTATGCTCACTGCTGAGAACACTTTCCGTGTCCTCGGAGCCAAGGCCAAAACTTATTGCTGTTACAGCATCGTCACACGAATTTGTCATACCTCTGGGGAAAGAGTCTCTGGGAATTTTGGCTCCTGGATCTAACTCCCTGAACCATTTGATCTGGTGTTGTGAGGGCGCATCTGCTAAAGCAGTGGTTCTTAACCTTGGGTTACTCAGGTGTTTTTGGACTGCAACTCCCAGAAGTCTTCACCACCAGCTGTGCTGGCTGGGGTTTCTGGGAGTTGCAGTTTAAAAACACATGAGTAACCCAAGGTTAAGAACCACTGTGCTAAAGTGTTATCTAAGCCTGGAATGTGTTTCGCCTGAACTAAAATATTGTATTTCAGGGTGTGCAATGTAAATTGCATGCACCAGTGCCATAACACGTTCGAATTGCGAGGTGAGGATGTTTATTATGCACTCTACTAACTGATTATCGCACCAGAACATACCACTGAATTAGCCCATTCGTGAGCCACCAGCCATAGGGTCCCGACTATGGGGAAAATTCCATAAATGTCCAATCCTTATTAATTTCCAGTGTGAGCCATTCCTCAGGCCAACGCTCGGCACACCCTTTGCCCTTACAATAGATCCGAAACCTAGGGAAGCAGCTGCATCTGTCTGTATCTGGAACTCAACCTTAAGACTTATCTCAGACTTCTGAAAGGAAATTCCATTAAACTCATCTAAAAACTAGCTGCAAACTTCTAGATCCTGCCTCATACCCTATTTGAGTCTCATCCTATGAAAAGGACAAAGAGTACCTTTCATTGTATCACCTAACCTGCTCTGGAGAACACAACCCGGCGCCACCACCCTGCATGCCAAGTTCAGATACCCGACTATTTCTTGCAATTCTTTCAATGACACCTATCCTTTTTGGATGTCAAGGCAATCCTAGCCTAAAGATCGCTTAGTTTACCATCAGGCAATCTGGACGTCTACTGCTAGTGTCTAACTCTATTCCCAAGAATGTAAGGGACATAGCTGGTCCCTCCATCTTCTCTTCATCTAAGGAGAGACCCGACTCCCTTGTTTTGCAACGGATTTTGGAAGCTAAGCCTCTATGCCATGCTTCCAGACCATACGCGCTGTGCCAGTTTCTCTGAGAGGACAGTAAAGCAAGCACAAGTGGAAATGATTTTACTTCACCCTCTAAACATGTTGATTGAATGTGCACACTATTCCTTATCTGGGACATTTCCATTGTAATATGGCTAATTGGACATGCTAACAGCCCTATCTTTGGGGTTTACTAAAGTGAAATGTACAGATACAATCCAGGATTACTCACAACTAGAGCAGACCCATTAAAAGGATGCAACTTGTTAGTCACAAGTGATAAAAATTCCATTGATTCTGTTCTTCTCTAGTTGGGAGAATATTGAGGCAACCAAGGCAATCTTGATATATGCACAGTTAATGACAAGCTGGGTACTGAAAATAGATGTACCAGGTGTGAAAATATTGTTTGAATTGATTGTGAACCACCCTGAGTTCCTTTAGTGGGAGAAAGGCAGTGTATGGAATAAATAAGTAAATAATAGTAGCCCATTTTGTAATGATAATCACTCCTTTCAGAGTACAGCAATAGTTGACAGTGTTCTCACTGCACATATATGTACAGGACATCCACACACAGACACTGTCCAAAGCTGTGCATCTAACTATAACACCACTGTTATAAAAAATTTGCATACTGTATTGTTTGCTAAAAGGCAAGTGGTGTATTTACCACAGTTTGCTCCAAGGAAATTGTTATGAAAAGACTGAAAACTGTCATAAGGTTTTCTTCCTATTGAATATGTTTGAAACCCATCGGGCATGTTGTATTCTACAACAATAACTGTGTCTTTTGAGTGCTAGTTTGAATCTTCATTTCTTTGTCAGTCTTCTTCCTTCTGCTGCTGCCCATTGTTTCCTCTCGGTTGTGTTTACTCGTGATGGGTGAAACCATTTACATGTACAGAAAATACAGAGGTGCCTTGCTTAGCCATGTTAATTGGTGCAGCAAAAATTGCTGCTAAGCAGTTTCATCACTAAGTGATTTTAAAAAGCCCATAAAAACGTGTTTAATGTGTTCCTATGGGCTTAAAAACTAACCTTGTGCAAAAATCCTCCATTGCAGCGGCCATTTTCAGTGCCTCTAAAGCGAGGCAAAACAGCGGGCGGCCATTTTGTTTACCCAGCAGCCATTTTGGAACTGCCGATCAGCTAGCCAAAAATGGGGGCTTTGCGATGATCACTTCCCTGCAATCATCACAAAGCAAAATTTCCCCATATGGGCCATCGCAAAGCGATCGCTCTTGCGATGGCAAAAAGTCCATCGCAAAGCGATTTCATCACTATACGGAGCAATCGCTATGCGAGGCACCACTGTAATGTGTATGTTGTGCAATTTCACTTGCAGGAAACAATCACCATGCTAAGATGACTCCTAGCATTGGGTATGATTAGTATGGATTACACAATGCTTCAGCACAAAGGAGAACTGCCCATACATGGCCTCCCAAGTAGAGACCAACAGCAAGGAAGGTGCACCCTAGTGTTTTTTAAGTAGAGTTGTCGTTTAGTCGTTTAGTCGTGTCCGACTCTTCGTGACCCCATGGACCAGAGCACGTCAAGCCCTCCTATCTTCCACTGCCTCCCGGAGTTGTGTCAATTTCATGTTGGTTGCTTTGCAGACACTGTCCAGCCATCTCATCCTCTGAGTAGCTATCTTCAAATGGGTGAAAGAAGTTACAAGAAAGCAATGCAGCATTTTAGGTGTAGCTATTCCATGCCATTGTAACAAGTAACATTTCTTGGCTTCTACTGCTCCAATCATACCAGGTTTGTTTGTTTGTTTGTTTGTGATGCGGGATGTCACAGAGAAGCCCAATCTCCTCTCTTTCCCCATCCTTCTCAGTGAAAGAGAATCTCATGCTGGAAGAGAGGACCTACTTCCAGTACATATTTGCACTCCCAAATCAATGTACAGCAACAACATCATTCTAGAGAACAAAAATCAAAGTCCCTTGGTAATCAGTGGTAAAGCTTCCATTAACTTAGACAGAAGCAGGATCTACTCCTTGGCTATTAATAACTAAAATGAATAATAAACATGCATTTGAGCTGACAGCCATTTACTTGCCTCTCTGGCCTTTATACTCAGTGGTGACATTTGTATCCTATCAGCAAAATGCTGTATTGTATTTAAGCAGTAATTGCATTTTTTATGGAGACAAATGACATGTAAATCAATAAATGACGAAAGTGTACTCTGAGCAATCTATTGATCTTCCATCAAGTTCATCTCTGAGCTTAAGGCTGAGAAAATACAATCTGCATTATGATTTTTTAACAAGTTGCAGCTTTTCAGCTGGGTAAAAAACTTTCATGAGTGTTAATGAAAATTAGGATGTTTGTCTGGTTTTGCTTCCCAGCCAAGATAAGATGAAAGACAAAGCACATATCAGTTATAATTGAAGGCTGTATGGAGCAAGTTGAATTGAAATTATAAATTACTCTATGAAGATGAATGGAGCCATAAACTTATGAGTCAGTCATGTAAATCAGTCCTACTTCACAGTCCCCCTGCTGGTGTCAGCATCGGGATTGTATAAAAGTAGATGCCTCTAGAGAATTGTGGTTTCTGATTGGCTAGGACAACCTCTTAATCCCATCCTTACAGGAATTATACACAATCCTTTACAGATAATACTCAATGTGTGTTCTTTCTAAGAGGACTTTCTCAACATTTTATCCCATGAGAGTTTCAACTAAAGGTAAAGGTAAAGGTTCCCCTTGACAATTTGTCCAGTTATATCTGACTCTAGGGGGCAGTGCTGATCTCCATTTCCAGCCCACAGAGCTATTTATTTGTTTGTTTGTTTGTTTGTTTGTTTGTTTGTTTGTTTGTTTGTTTGTTTGTTTGTTTGTTTATTTATTTATTTCTATCCCGCCTATCTGGACATATTAGACCACTCTAGGCGGCTTACAATAAAAAAGAACAATATAATTTTAAAAACATTACACCTAAACTAAGATAGAAGTCAAAGAAAAATATAGAAAAGGACAAGCTACCGTTTGTCTGAAGACAATCTTCCATGGTCCCGTGGCCAGTGCGACTAGACACGGAATGCCGTTACCTTCCCACCGCGGTGGTACCTGTTTATCTACTCACATTTTGCATTTTGCATTTTGCATGCTTTCGCAATGCTAGGTTGTCAAGAGCTGGGACAAGTGACGGGGGCTCACTCCATCACATGGATTCAGTCTTATGGGAGTTCATGGGAGAGTCCGAGCCGTCAGCAGCGTGGAGTCGGAGCTCCGGTATTCCCTTTATCTTTGCCTTCCAAGCTTGTTATCTTATATTTTCCTCATTAGGGAACTTCCTACTCTTGGCTTCGAGGCTATGGTGTTTATTGGAACCCTGCTGCTGGTCTATCCTTGAACCTAGAAGTGTTTTGCTTTTCTTCTTCGACCGGCCTCTCCCGTCCTTCTCCGCTGACGCCATTGTTATCTCCACAAGCAAATGGTTTGTTTTCTTTTTCTTCCTTTCCCTTTAGTCTATTATTTAAATGGGGAAATCCAAAAGAACTCTTTCTCAAACTAGCCCCGATTTGGCACAGATTTCACCTTCATCCAAACAGCTGCGGCTGGACTCCTTTTTTCCACCTCAACCTTCTACATCGACTACAACACCCCTGAAAAGAAGTGCTTCTTCTACAAACAAGACACAGGAGGTCCATACTCCTTCAACTACTCACCCCCCTGAACAACGCTACTCCAAACCGCTACCTAGTGTTAACTCTCGCTTGGATTGTGATGCTATTGAACTTATAAAACATTATTCTACACTAACTGCAAGAACTGTCTCTCAGATTTTCTCCCAGCTTACTCTACTTACAGACTTCTTAAAGAGCTCATGCTCTATTTCTCCACATTGTCTATCCTGCCTACATAAAACCCCAGATAAACTCAACTCAGCCGTTTGCAAAGAAACTCCTCCTAGTTCTTTCTCTGATGGCTGCCTCCCTCAAGTTCCTTCCAAGCCCATAATGCATTTGGTCTACGTTCCTCACGCTGCTGTTGTCACAATCGGTCCTCCTCGCGGTTTTACAAGCTTTCCACGCTGGACTAAAATCGCCTTGGCGAAGAGACATCTCGCCTTCCTCCTAAAAGTGAATGTTCGGAACATCGACCTCTACAGGACTGAGACCTTGTCAACATCCTTCCACTCAACTAGACTATTACTGACCTTCCATTCGAACTATGTTCCTGGGATGTTGTTCTCATCTGCGAATCTACTACAACGGTGGGGTGTTACCCCTCACCGCCTTTTCAAGAATACCACCATTGCCAGGCTTATCTCGACGGAAGCCTCTTTGCAACCCCCTCCTACAGACGCCTCCCCCTCCTCCAAGAGGACAAAACTGTTTCGAACCTTCAGACCTACCTACCCCCCTACAGACTCCCTGCTGCTCTCTTCTACTTCGCC